CAATAACATGCCCTTAATATATGAAGTTACAGATATACTTCGAGTTATAGAATATACTCTGTATAAATATTTCAAACATTTATTGTTAGTAATTCTCAATCTACGTAAAAGCTGTTTGCAAAAGACGAAAATCCTTATATGAAATATGGCCGTTAAAGTGTTAAATACCAGCTGCTTTAAATGATCCAAGACATGATGATCCGAAGGCTTTAAATCCATAGATCTTAAAGATCATGCGTGTAGATCTTTGATCTCTTGTTACTTATATTGTTTATATTATACATATTTTTTCTCAAACATACAATTTATGTTTATATTATACATGTTTTCTTTCTCTCTCTCTCTCTCTCTCTCTCTCTCTCTCTCTCTCTCTCTCTCTCTCTCTCTCTCTCTCTCTCTCTCTCTCTCTCGGAATGTTTCTTCTTCTAAGAAACTAACAAACTATATCTATATTCGTTATGATCATATAAAATAATATTCGTATGGATCCATCGATAATTAGATAGATATTTGGCGATAATTATTTTCATGAAATTAGAAACTTTTTATGAATCAATTGTATCATGTACACATAGTTCAATTAAAATAAAGAAAGTTTCAGCGATTTTCAATCTTTTCACATATATTAGTAAGTTAATTATCATTACTATTATATTTTATCTAGTAAACACTAATGTAAGATTATAATTAAATGATGGATTGGTCTATTTTTTTTTTCTTTTTTTTTTTATAATTCTTTGTAATTTATCAATAGGACTAGGGAAGCGATAAACATCACTGCAATGCATCGATATAAGGCTCGCATTTGCGATGAAAGAAAGTACGCGACTGCGTCTACTGGATGTATAAGAGTGAGAGGGGTTGAAAGAGGAAGACGAAGAGGGAGGGGGCTGATTCATCGTAAAGGCGCTATGTGCTTCTCATCCGCTCGACGCAGCCGTAGAACGCGGGCGGCTTCGGGCGTCGCGCGATTTAGCTGGAACACGATCGCTCCTCAGTCGCGCCTTTTCTACGGGAAAGTCAAGGACGCGCTTTAAAAGTGTCTAACTCGTTTTGACCTATCGTTATCTTTCTCGCTCATCATTTCGGGAAAGTGCGTCAAAGCTGCTACTTCTTTTTCGTACGTACGTACACGCACTTCGTTGTTACGTCTCGTAGAAAAAGAAAGAGGAGATTTACGCGAAGGAAATTTTCAAGAAAAGAGACAAAGAGAGAGAGAGAGAGAGAGAGAGAGAGAGAGAGAGAGAGAGAGAGAGAGAGAGAGAGAGAGAGAGAGAGAGAGAGAAAGCGTGAAAATGTACAACTTTATTTAGCATTTATCACCAAATTTTTTTTTTCTTTTGCAACGTAAATACACGTAACTCACGATTACTTTTTTTTCTATTTTCAGCTACGTTTTCCTATAGTAATAAAAAAAAAAAATACATTCATTTTTATTATGTATCTTCGTATATCTACACCTATGTAAATGGTCCAATTGCGAAAGTTAAGTATCAAACACCAGCGTGTGTCACATTGGAACTCGTTAACGGGCAATTATGCGGAAACCAATGCAAATTTTTGAAATTAACTTATAACCGGAAAATTGCAAAGTTCAGTTAATAACTTTTATCGGAGATAGAGTGGTCACGCAAAGAGCAACGTGTTGTTATTATGATGGTGATAACAAGAAATAATAAAAATAGATAATAAAATTTAAAGAGCAAAGCATATTTTTTGAATCGTGTCTTATTGAGTTAAATATAGAAATATAGAAAAAAAGAGATATGTACATACATTAGAATCGAAACTTTTAAACTTAAAAACTTTTCTTATTTTGGATGTTTGTATAGTAATAAAATTTACAGGACCGAGTAAATATGCGTATTTTATTATCAAATGCCATTTGTAACAATTCGATAGATTAAAGATAACTCGCTCGTTCATTTTGAATGTTTTTAGTCGGTACTTATGTGTTTTAAATAGCACATTGTGTCGGGAAAATTGAAATGACAGACAATTCATACTCCCTCTCCCCCCTCTCTCGCTCTCGCTTTTTCGCTCTCTTTGGGAGATTAAATTTTAACGTAACAGATCACTCCGCGTGCACTTTAATAATGTGAATCCTCTGGATGATTCATCATTTATATATGCACTTGTGTATTGAACATACCCATAGACATATTACGTGTTTTATCGTTTCATACAAATATGCTGGGAGTAATTTTATAATCTCCTCTTTCTCATTTCGAAAATATAAACATCTTACGGCGCGGTCGTATCGATTCGTTAAATATTTATTTAATTCGTAGTAAATATAGAAGGATATTTAATGTGAACAAAGTTTACTACTCGACCTTGTGTATAAACAGTGTTCTAATCACAATGGCGATTGCTATGTTTGCCGAACACGGAAAACTGAATTTAGGTAGGCGTTATTTGCTTTAATTTAAAATGTGCTCTCATTCCCTCCCTCCCCTCTCTCTTTTATGCGTCATTATGCATTCTTCGGGTCTATTATCGATAAATTAATATCACATATACAGATTATCGGTCTTGTAACGTACCATTCAGAATAGCAGTTTATTCCATTCCATTCCGTTTCGTTGCGCAATACGTATATAAATATGTATCGCTTCGTGCGAAGACACTAATTGACTCAAACGAGTGTAGGAGGAAAGTCTAACAATCGACGAAGCAAACAAGTCCGAATGATTTGAGCTTGGTCGTTCTATTTGAAAAACCTGTTATCTGTTATTCCAATATATTTTTCCAATTGGTATTTAATTTCTATCGTTGTTATCAAGAAACATTTATCTTGCTTAAAATTCTTCATCTATATTTATCTATATTTCGACGAAATTTATGTATCATTTATATTCTCGTAGTTGCGTTATAATATATATTTTCTTTCCTTTTTTTTTTTTTTCTATTTTTTAATTCGTTGAAACATTTCTACCGTGCGTTTTTAATTTGATTTATGAATCTTTCAGCTTCAAAGTATAAGATCTAATTATTAATTATGGTCATGTTAATCTTAATTGAATTTATTATATAATTAAATTAATTTATTTTGACATTTAATATACCGTTAGTTTTCCTTTCACTTATTAGTTTTCGCATAAATAGATATCTATCTTATATCATAGTGCGATTAAATGTTCTTTTCTTAAAGAACAAGTTAAACATTAAAAGTGAAATAATTCACTTGCTCTTTTTATTCGCGAGCACAATCGGTCCTTCGATCCTCTTACGATCTTGCTCCTGAGAAAAGTAAAGGAAAAAGGAATAATAAGAAAGTAAGATTTTCGAATAGCAGCATCGTTTCGTGGACGCCGAAAGGAATGCAGCCGGCTGCGTCCTGAAAAGGCCTCGTGCGAAAATAGCCAACTTGGCTGCGTGTCGACCGTTGCTGCTTTCAGCGAGTTCCTTCTTTTGCTTTGGGTTCACTCCGGAACGTTACCGAACCTTTTGAAACATGCTACGAGGCCTTTCAAGGTGCGCGCGCAAAAAATTCGTTCTTCTCTTTGCTCTTGGTTTGCGACCACGAGAACGATTATTACGCTCTAGTAGTGTCTCTATGATGGAGAGTTTATTAGTATCTATATACAATGGTATATATAAACATCCGGGTGATTAAAAGATAGTAGGAATAAATGGTATGATTTATAATATTTTCTTTTCCATTTCTTTCTTTCCTTTTCTTTCTTTCCTTTTCTTTCTTTTCTTTTTTATTTCTTCTTCTTTTTTTCTTCTATTTTTTACAGAAACGTAGAAGAAATAATTAAGAAAAAATATTTTTTATGGGTAATTTTGAATGAACTTTTTTATAATTGCTAATGATCTCTTACTAGTGTAATCCTTCTTAATGATTATAATTAATTATTTTCACAGTTATTAATAATAATTGTTAGAAGAATGTCTGATTTATGCATAAATAGTGTATGTATAATAAGTAGGCATATGAGTAGAACATTGAGATCACTACTAATAACAGTGCCTGTCAGATCAATCCGTCTCTTATCGTCCATCGTTATCTCGATCTTCTGGCAGGGTGAGAAATTCCACGGAAGCAAGTGCCGGATACAGTTCGATGAGTAATAACTTCGTGGAACTGTTAGGTATATCACGATATATGTATGTGTGTATCGATTATTGGTAATATCGGAAAACCGTTCGCCATTTCTCACGACCTTTATCATTAATAATAATTTATGGTAAGAGTGAAAGAATTCTTTGAATGATTTTCGAACGATTATTGATTGTCCTTCTTTTTATTTTTATTTTCTAAACACGAGTTGAGTTTAACGCGATATTTTATTTCAATTTAAGCGATTCTTTTTCTTTTTCTTCACCCTATCTCGAATTCAGTTATATTCCATATCAATATTTTTTAATTTATTGAAACAGAAGACTAATATATAAAGAAAGCAAATTTTAAATATTGCATATACATTTATATACAGGTTTACTGTCGAAGCTATCTTGCACAAATCGATATATTCGTTTAATACTTTTTGAAGTTTCGCGTAAATAATAGATATAAGAGATTTTATTTTTATTTTAACAAAATTTTTTTACAAAATTAAAAGAGAGAGAGAGAGAGAGAGAGAGAGAGAGCTGCAAATATCACAAAATAAAATTAGCAAAATTGAATCATGGACATCAATAAAACCTCATGCAATATTCAACATATCAATTAAAAAAGAATTTTTTAAAGTGCTTAGTCGCAGTATTGATCCATAGAAATGATTATGAGTTTTTTCTTTTATCTTTTTTTTTTTCTATCCTTCGTACAGAAGGGAAGTAGTTAGTATTCGTTTGTTATTACGATGGTCTAGCGATAAACGCGCGAACTCGACGATCGGATCGAGGAGTGCGCGCGAGGAAGAGCTTGTTCATTCTTTCGCGATCGATCCGTGACGCGTTCGAAGAATTAACGCGCCCGGAGAACTCGCTAGCGCGTTAATTCTCCTTGTTCGTCTATTCTTCCGCATATCGCGCATCTTGCACAGACGGTA